TTTATTTCTTTGTGATTTAAGGATTTAGGATCAAGGTTCTTATTTGGAAATAATAGATTAGATATTATTGAGGAGAAAATATATGTTTGGCCTGAAACTTTATTAAACCTCGTTTATTGAGAAAAAGGTTTAAAAAGTGGCATTGTATGAAACCCGATTGGTTCAAAAGGAATGAGATTTGAATAGTTAAGTAATAGCTTGATCTTGAGAAAAGATTTGGTATTGTGTTTGTATATGTTCATATATTGTTATATATGAATAAATGTTTTTATAAAGGTTTTGGTGATTCTTCACCCTGCAATGACATGAATAGGGTATCTCACTAGACTTTTTAAGTCTAACCCTCGTTTTGTGATTTTAAATATGTATTGCATGTCGAGTAGAAGGTAAAGGAAAGGAAAAGATTTAATGCTTTTCATACGTGCATTTTGGTTGGAGATTTGTTTTTGATGCACAGTTTTGATGATTAGTACAAGATTGTATTTCGAATTTTGGACCTTCTATTTGGTCATGTTAGATTCTTGTACTAAGGACTCGAATGATGAATGAATATGTGTTTCTTTGGTATGAAATACGTGTTACATGCAATGTATGTGGGTTGGGGCGTTACATTTTCAGATTAAAAATAAAGAAAAAAAATTCTTTACGATCAACATAAGTTTATATTTAATTTAATTAATGGACATAGATAAATTACAATCTTTATCTTACATAAATAAGAAAAACGATACATTTTAAACCCAACTTAAAATATAAATTTATTTTTTTTGGATTAAAAGTATAGACGGATTTTCAAAAATATATTGAATAAATTACATAAAAATTTAAAATATTCAATACATAACTTAAAATCTCTTAATCTACAATTAAAATAGCATATAGTACAAGTTACTAATGCACATTATTATATTTTCTTTTCATATTTCCAAGATACTTTTGACACATTTCATTCATGTTTTCACCCTCTTATACCTCTATGTCTTCTCCCCATCCCGCAAGGTGAGATTCAAAATTAAATTCATCATGAATTATTAAAAGTTCTCCCATTCAATTGTTCTCGATCTCTTGATTCTTTGCTCTTGGTGTAAATCGAACACATTTGTGTAGTCGTTTAAATATGTTGGATTTTAAATTGTCATACAATTTTTTTCACCGATAGACTGTAATTGGAACCATAACTCTTATTGTTCAAATTGTATTAATATGTAAAGATCAAATGTAACTTATATCATCGTTAAATCTTCTCTAATAAAACCAGTGAAACCTCAAAATCATCAAAATTCACAGCTACCGCCGCATTGCACGGGTACATAACTAGTCATCGTTAAAGGTGAGAAGGGTATGTGAGTTTATTCATTGCATTTGCTGTACATAAATATTATATATTTCAAGAAAAAACTTTTTGTTTACGGGACCAAATAAATCTAAAGTTGTACTTGGAAGTTGAGTTGTTACAAAAGCATCGTTTTTAAAGTGAGTTAACACGTTTCTAATATTGTCAATACCAAACAAACAGACAGCTCCATCGTAAAGTACGAGCATCCTTTGTGGCTAAGACGTGGAAGCCAACAAATACATAAATATCGCATTTATTTCATCCATAAATTATATGCTCGATATACATATATCTATATTATATCACAGAATATTTG